ATCGGTAGATGCCACCAAGTAAATGCTTGGTGTGGTCTACGGTGAAATGACACCATGTGGAGTCTGGGGGTTCAAAAAGTGGTGGGTCGGCTGCGCGCACACATTTAAGTTGCTTGTCAAAGTATATAGCAACTCCCCCCTTCCTTATTATCCCTGCCTCTCTTGAGTAGAACCATATCACCTAAACTGATTTCGTTGTTGGCGATAGTGGGGGTTAGCCACGTTTCAGTGAGAACGATCACTTTCAGTGGTAGGTGTGCTTGGAGATTTCAGAGTCCGCTTACTTTTCCTCTCAGCCCCCTCACATTGCTATATAAGCAGCTGACAGTGAGTCTTACAACCTCAGCGTGTTGTGGGGTGGTTGACGTGAAGCTGTCTGCTGGTAGGAGACTTAATGTTGGGACTAGTTGGCCGATTCCGATGGAACCGGCCCGTTGTGGGTTTTTTCCATGGATTTAGGCAGGACACTTGGGTGACACAGACTGTTATTCCCAGAACTGCATCGCTCTAGTGTCACTGAAGCTTTCGAATGTATTAAAGCCTCAGTTTGCTGCCTCCTTATGGTTCGGGGTCTGCTTTCGCAGCATCGGATGTGTCCTCCCATTTTTCCCTTGGTCTCATACCACCGTTGAAGTGCTGTGGTCAACTGCTCCGGGGAGCTGAATGTGATATTTAGCAGCTTTGGAGAGCTAATCAGTGTGGGATGAGCGGGGCGAGGTAGTCGGGAAATGGAGATGGCTCCAGAAGCGCTAAGAGCCATCTGAGATGACAGCCATCTCCATTGCTGGGCGTCATGCATGTGTACCACCATAGAGCTAGAAGGTATCAGTTCCGGTGACTCCCTCGCCATTTGTCTGATAGCCCACGGTCTGTCTTGTTCCACCCTAATATCGAACTTCTATCGATGGCTAGTACCTGAGTCATTAATAGTACTCCTTCGGCCTCTTCGGCAGAGTCCGGTGTAACCCTTAATGGGGGTGGCTTACTCTGAGGCGTGTGGACACCCTTGTACAGCCTGCACAATTTCCCTGAACTACTTTTCAGACCAAATTTATTTCACAGGTTGGATCAGTGTTCCTGATCAAACAGGGCCCGTTGTTCAAGCAAGCTATCTTTGCTCACGGGTACGTTAAAGAGGATAAGAGAATTAGACCGATTAACCTCAGACTTAGGTTTGGCCTTTGGTTTCTTGTATTCCTTTGCAGTGTCAGCAACTGTAGGCTTCATCAGGTTCTGGTCAGCCTTTGTTTTGTTGCCAAGCTTGCTTGTGGATGCAAGTGGTGCTTTTCTAATTCTTTCTTTCCTTGATGTTGTGGGTGCAACCTTGTGAATATTCACCTTGTGAAAATTGGCATTTCCAGTCAGTAGGACTAGAGTATCTTTCTCACTGTCTCTGCCAAGTTTTGGCATTGTGGCGTTAGCAGGTGGGGAGCTGCATAAGACTGTGTTGGGACAAAAGAGCGGCAGACACGCCATGTGAGACTATGCCAAGGTGACAAAGTGGACAGATGTACCAAAACACGGGCATGGGTTATTTCTCATAAACTCGTAGTATGCTTTCGGCACCCCTTTGTCACAACGGCAGTGCATCCATTGTTTGCAAAAAATTCCATTCAAACGCTGAGTCAGTTTTAGAAACTATGATGCTACACGCCTGCCATTCGTCTCCGTTTCTTGATCACGCCTTCTAGGTCTTATGACGTCTTGAACGCTTCCTTTTAGGTTTGCTGTGTTTCACGCACTGGCTTTCAGTTGATGCAGGTGTAGTATCGTGTCCACCTGGTATTCCCTGTGCCGTTTCAGTGCTAGACTGTGGCAATGCAGGCGCAGTATCACAGCAGGCGAGACCTACACGAGTCTTTAGGATCGGTATGCGGGGAGGGGTCGATGTCCCTGGGTTATTGCCTCCTCTGGCTGAAGCCCTTGTGACTACAGAATATGGTGTTTTAGTGCTTCTCCTAAGACTACTTTCAACAGTCATATTAACAATCACCAAAAATTATACTCTATAATAATAAGAGAGGATCAGTATCTACCCACAAGAACAAGAATAAGACTGATAAAGTGTAAGATAAGGAAAAGGTTTTCGACTTTACCTAGTACTTTCTGGATGATCGGCTTCACAGCAATCACGTGGTAGACCAACAAGTCTTGTTTATCTGAACGAGTGGGGCAGATGCTTCTACAGAAGTGGCACCTGTAGCTTTGGCAGTAGTTCGAGACAGTTGGACTTACCACACAGAGATTCAATATGTAAGCAATGGTTGAATTTAATTCACCGGCTATGAAGATCATGTTTCGCAAGCGGATAATTCACAAAATAGGTTAGAGAGGAAAAGGCACGTCGTATTCATGGAGCGCACGCAGTAGATTTGTCACATGGTATTTACCTTCCCTCAAACCATGTTGCATTTAACAGTGTATTTTTCCTCTTATTGCATATATTGTCTCCAGCTAATCTCTTTTATATCTTTCACGCAGGTGAAAGGAATGGAGATGATCTATAGCCTATTGCGTTTCGCCAATACCTGCCGTTGATGACAGGAAAATTGGTGGCTCTCTTCTACTTCTTTGGAAGCTTATCTGAATTGATCAGAGAGAGTGAGAGCTTCTGCTTACTGCTTACTGATGGTCGAATGGTATCAAAACCACTGTTTTCGAAGTTTTGGTAGAGCAGTTGTGAGGCTAAAATGGGAAGTATCCACTAGGTTTTTGCTTGATGACATACTAAAGTGAATTTGATGGCTTTTAATAGTAATACCCATAGCTGCGTTTGGTTGTCTGCCAGAGCCCGAACTGTGTCCATACTAATGCAAAATTGCATGCCTCCTGGTAGATTATCTTCGCAAAATGAACTAGCGGAAGCCTTCGGCTTTTACCAGGATATTTTCGAGAGATATACCTGAAATGACCCTCAGGAAATCTAGACACTCGTTTTTTTGCCTCCTAAGTTGTAAGTTTGCCACATAGTCAGTCTGACAGGTAGATGGTCAGCAAACAAAGTCGGCTTCTTGGCATATTTCGGAGTACTCTGTTTGCCTCTCTTGACACATGACTAATGCTTTCTAGGTCGTGGTGTTACTAGAGAGACAGTTTTGATATCTGTATGTGAGTGATCCCTCCTACTCTTCCCCAGTGTTCATCAACTGATAACTCAACTGAGTCTGTGCGTCATTCTGAGTAAGATAAAATCTCTCGCACTTTGTTGTATTAGGCCATTCCAAATCACAGACAGGGTCAGGTAGTATCTCAGTTTAGAGAAATTCAGCATATTCCTATTTGCAAGTGGATCACTGAGAATTTGTATGGCTAACAGGTACTAAGGCTGAGGCTTGCTTGATAGATAAGAATCAATGTCAAAGCGTTAGATCGTATTCATGGACACTGAAGGCAGACATACTCCAAAAATCGCCTGAGTGCAAGACTGCACTGCTCACATCGGGGATGTAAAAAGCAACCTTCCTACTTGGCTTTGTGTCCCAGTTAGAGGAGAAATGACTGATGATCACAAGAGAAAGGAACATTATCAGAAAGTACTGATGGGTCACTCTGTGCGAAAGTATCAAGAAATAACGAGAGCAATGGATGTAATATATATGAATATAATCGTATTAGCTATAGGGTAAAGACTGCCATTCAGCTGTGGTGGAAACTCTCACAAGAATTGTGATAAGGTGAGGCGTGAAATCCAAGTGATAAGTCAGAAAACCACATAGTTTACAACACGTGGAGTTCCATGTCACTTGGAAGAAGAGGTTGGGTGACGAGTTCAGAGGATGGGAAATAATGTTGAAGAAGCCGATATCCCGTATCTCTCTATAATGGCAAGCCAGATTGATTAGAGTCATGGTAACTTTTCGTTCTTAAAATCATATACTTCTAAAACAGGAGGGCATAATCATCATATAATTTATTAGGAAACTTGATGGCTTACTGACCACTGATTCTGTGGTGGACGCGCGGTTGTGTGATCCAATTCTAAGCACCCAGCAGTTTACACCTACTGACCAGCATAATGAAAAACTCTCCACAGCCTACGGGTATGCCCACAGTATATTGACAGCACTTAACCTGCTCGATGGTTAAATAACAAAAGTGAAGGACTTTAACTTGCTAACATTTAACTTAGCAGAAACATCAGCTGCACACCATAGTAAGACGCACGCTAAAAAAACCTGGATGCTGGTACCGAATGGCGCCCTTGTGAGGAACCATCTAAAATGGACTACATTTCAAACTAATTTCATTTACTTATAAAAAGCGTTTGAAATAGATAATCCCTATTAAATGTAGATAAGGTGCGTCACACAGTACTCAGCTTGTCTGGTGTCATGTGTCCCTTCGGTATCCCATAAGGTGTGGAACGTCTTCTGGCATTCTATAGCTCAAATACTGGACCTCAGCGCCATTTACCGAAAACACAGAGCTTCCGCACATCATCTTTCTACTGCACACACACAAAATAGGTCGCATACAGCTGGATACGGTCACATATGTATGTTCAACCACAAATAAATGCTTCTTATATCTCAGAAACCTTCAGAAAGTCTCTTTTACAAAGGGAAAGGTCAGAGTCTATATTCAGTATTCTTCGTGTCAAGTCTTTGGCATACAGAAAAGATTACATGCAGAAACTAAAGACGTAAAATCAGAGAAGAGAAAGAGAATCACGTAGCGAAACTTAAATTTCCTTCTTATTGCTAGGGGTTTCAATCCGCTAGCATCAGGTTATTCATTCTGGCCCACAGCATAACGCCTGTCAACTAAGTTCTCTACTGTTCACTTCATTAAATTCTCTGTAGTCTTACATTCCCGCCCAATTTCATATGACTTCTGTCCTCTAGCACAACAGCAAAAACGTGGCTGAATTAAGTAAGCAGGAGTGAAATTTAAACAGAAATTTCAGGTCGAACTAATGATATGACGCCTTATAAAACTTAATCCAGTTTTTCTGATCTGGCGGAGAAGGATGTTGGATATTGAATAGGGTTTCAATCTTGCGACATCTAAAAAGCCGGAATTTTCAAAACAACTGCATCTGGTTCAAATGAATAAGAATTCCTACGGGATATAGTGCATCCAGTTGGATATCAGAATTAGCGATGAAAAATTCTAATGAATGTCACTGCTGTGAATTTAAAAGCCTCTCTGTATTACACCGTCCACCAGACGAAGGTGGTGATATGGCTTACATGATTGAAAATGAAGATCTGTCTGTCCCTGGGGGAAATATGGAGGAAAAGAAAAAGAAAAACAAGCATAAGAAGGTCCGCATACTTTGTGATGAAACACACTGCATGAAGAAAAGAACGCTGACATTGCAACAAATCTTAACAGTAAGGAGACAGAAGATATATGAGCAACAGTGTGAAATCGAACAACTTAGGGGAAAAGTTCAAGAAGTGTGCAATGAGAATAAGTTTCTCCGAGATCAAAACTTCTGGCAGGCGAAAGCACTCGAGAAAGTAATATGGTAGAAAAGTTATTTATGATTAATCACTTTTTGAGGTATATACATTTGATTTCAGTCAACATTGGAATTTCGGACACATCAGAATCTGTATTTAGCCAGTTATGTGTGTTTGAAACGGGTGTTCAATATGACAGACATTAACTATGCCCATGCATGGGTATAGTAGTCTGCATCGGTGGCACAGTGGTTAGGACTCTTGCCGACCATGTACATGGTCCGGGGTTCGTTCCCCTGCCAACGCACACCCGACATCTATGGTCGGCCTGCGAAATTTGGGCTACCGATATCCATGCTGAAAATGCCATACTTGTACTAAAAATACGGTGTGGCATCAAGCTGTAATCAAAAATAATAAAAAATAAGATTCATTTTGGATGGTTTAGTCTATGATATATTTTTGTCCATCCAAATAAATACATTCAGGTTGTAGAATAAACGCTGCGGGAAATCAATAGCTATATCTCCCTTAAGCATTTATCAAATTCTCGAAAAGTGGTGGATGCATTCCTGCATTTTCTCAAAAAATTATGTAGATTCTTTTCTAGGTTATTCTATGATCATAGACACATACTCATTTATGTTAATAGGCGACTTTTGTTTCAAAAAGTTACCATAAACTGTTATAAGCATGGTCTCTTAATAATCTAGTGAGTCGTTTTTGTGTACTGTGTATGTTTGTTAGTTCTCCTGGCCACGAAATTACATTTACATCCGATGACAATGTGGTGCTTTCAAAGCGTACTGTTTGAGCTAGTAGTCTGTTTTAGAACATCATCACAAAATTTTGAAAGCTTTTAGGATATCGTCCACAATCGTGGCATTTTGCTGCCGAAATTCACTTAAATTAGACTTCATGAGTGATAAATTATTTTAATAAATTAGTTTATAGCTCATGTTGTTGTTACGGTTAGAAAATTCTCATATCTTGTTTTCTTTGAAGTAGAGAGCCTTCAGTAACTGGGACAGCACTTGAATGAGAATATGCCAAATTACTCATTCAGAAGGGACGCACAAGTCTGTGTGCACATCGATTGTGAAAGTGTTGTTTTCTCATTTACTTTAAGAAGCCCTTGGATTGATCCTTCTGTGGAATTCCTATTAGTATTTCTGATTTTCGTTTCATAGCAATCCAATCTTGAACGTAATCTTCAATTGTACGAAAGTACTTACCTATTGGGAAGTAAGAACATTTGAGCGCCGAAATTCTTGGGCAGAGATAACTTCTGAGGTTAATCTTAGCAAGGACATGGTAACAATGTTACTCAGCAAATGTATGAAAGTATATAGTTGCATCCTCAACCTGAATTTGTTTTTAAAAATTGGAAAATCACTTTACTACAAATAGACTTCTATTCAACCATCATATTAGTATAAATCTTGGACATTAAGGTGTAAAATTATCAAAATTTGTGACATTCGTTATTAATTTTAAATTGTATTTGTTACTTCTGACTTCATCAATATGTGTCGACGTATATGTCAAGAAGATAGGACTGTCACACAATACTGAAGCTTTTATATAGGTAATGAAAACACTGCATAAGTTTAGAGAATAATTTACACAGGTGTACAAGATTTAAGCTAGCGTTTTGTATCCTGAATATGCGGAAATACTAAGGAGATGCAGTTATTCCAACCAGTCCTGATGGGTACAAGTTCATTATTTCTATAGCTTCTATGAATACCTGTATTAGTTGTAGAGTCTGATATCAAACACGATTTCATAAAAAGCAATAGGAATTTTAACATGTTTAGCTGAAATATTTTGTTTACTTAAAGTTTATATAAGCTGTGGTAACTTTTGTTCTTACAAGGTTTCATTTTCGAGACCTTTAGGGACAGGAACTCCAGCAGATCACGAAACCATCTATCTCTGGTGATCTCGTTACTCATATTCACTTTATATTGATCTTCATGTTTAAAACTACATGCACATGTAATAAATGATATTTATTTGATGTGACAGACCTTATCAAATAACCAGGTCGCTATCCAGGAAGAGATCAACACAGATGAAAGCAATGAAAGATAATGAAGGGAAGCTAAATACGAGAGAGCAGAGACAAAGTGAATACTGGGCTGATCACTTCAAATGACTCTTGAATCGACCAACACCTGTAACTCGTCGAGAATTACCACCAACAGTCACAGAACTGTCAGTGAACACCAGTCCTCAGACAAAAGCAGGAGTCTTGAAGGCCATGAAGTTACTAAAAGCCAGTTGGACCAGATGCAGTCTGCCTAGGAGCAGTGGAAACCGACTCACCGATTTCAGTGGATATGCTGACAACACTATTGCAGAAGGTTTCGGAGGAAGGAGGGAATGAAGGAAGGAAAGGCATCCACCGATTGGAAGAAGGACTGGCTAGCTTGTCGAACTCCCGAAGAAGGACAACATAAGCTTTTGTGCAAGAACTGGTGGGGAATCATCCTCCTGTCCACTCCGAGCAAAGTATTAAGCCGCTTCATCCTGGAGAGAATAAAAGATTCTCCGCGTCGAAGACTCTGACCAGAACAAGTTGGGTTCAGTTGAAAGCAAACGATTTGCGGGTAAATTTGAAACGCTTTGTATCATCGCCGAACAGATAATAGTACTGCAGTTGAATATGTACCCTATCCCATTACTTACGAAAAGGTCTTCGATTGCGATGGTGATGAAGATACCTAACCAACAACAAGAGGAGTCAATTTTCTGCTGGAGAATTCTTAGGGAAGTGTGATTCTTACTAAAGACTGCGTAGTTGAGAATGCCTAAGGTATCTGTGATCGGAAAAGCCAAGAATGCCTTCATTATTCTGAAATCAGTTTGGAAATCAACTGCACTCAAAGCAAGGAGAAAGATTTGGGTTTCTAACACTAATTTCAAGTCGGTGTCTCTAAATGGTTCAGACTCTTGTCTTGTGCGTCAAAAAAGTCAGCTTCTGACTTCTATCAACAGCTGCTTCCTCTCAGTAATGAAAATCACGTTACCAAGAAAGATAAGCTATATGAAACTGTGACAGTGCATCGCACCAGTGAAGAACCTATTTACCAGCAAATAAATAGAAGTAACTTGAGATGAACTGTATATTTACTGAGGAGTCCTCCAATTGACATCACAACACAAGGTCGTCGAATGGAACCTGAATGGGAAGCGATGAATTAGGCATCCGAAGGTGACATGGAGGAGGTCAGGTGATGACGATCATATAGCCAGCTGAAAGACCCAAAGAAATTAGAGTAGAATGAAGAAATGTTATTAGAGTCCCAAATTTCTCTGGTAGCTCACAATAATAATAAAAGGAATTAAATGATAATGTGGGGTGTCAAGGCCAGCGGGATTCCAAATAGCTTTGTTTTAAATGTTTTGCTAACGACCTGATGTGCCTACTTTGGTCCCTAATATATATGTATTAACCATATGTTTGAGTAATAATGCAGATATGACGCAATTACTCGCAGATATATTATGACTAAGTGCCTTCTTTAGGGAAGTAAGCGTACTCAGTAAAATATTAAATTAGATTCCGAAATACTATATAATCTATGCCTTCAGGAACATGAGTCACGTGTTAACTTGTTTTTTGTTGTGACTGGGAAGGTAATCATGTGCCACTGGCAAACAATAAACACTAACTTAATTTCTGGAAGCTGATATATCAGGTTATTTCAAATTTTGACTGGCTAAACAAAGGCTTTACAATAAAACACTTCATATCGCTGTACTTGTCAGTAATATACTGATGCCTTATATTATAGAAAACAAATGTAATGAGCATGACGCCAATGCAGCTAATTTGCAGGCAAATTGATATACAGCCATTGAGAATAGGGTTTATCATGTTAGAGCAGTAATCTCGCGTTTCCTTGCACTAAGGATGTTCGACAGTATTTTGTATTCGAATACAGCCACATCCAGGATTATCACATAAACAGTAATCATCACATGTGTACGTCGTAAAAACCATTATAGAACTAGTGAAACTATTTTGGGTTTATAACTTCGGTGAATAAGGTATATATAGCATACTCTCTTTCAGATTTAAAACTGTGCTCTATTTTACGGAAGTGCTTAGAGAGAAAAAGATGACAGAATTTCTGATTCTTGTGAAATAAAGAATAGTTGTGTGTGCAGAACCAATTTCCTAGTGAAATCTAAGCTGGGATGAATGTCATCAGCTAGGAATATTAATTGTTAATCGAAAATAAAACTTGTGATAATAATATTGAATTTCCTGTTATCAAACATCATAATAAGTAAGAGGAAAAACATTACTGTTCTCAGCGAATAGGTAGAGATTCTCTAGATTGTCATTATAAATAAGACTATCATTTAGCCAAATTTCGAACTAGTATAAGAACGAGAACCAGTCTGTGTAAAAGCGGATGTGGTAAGCACGGGTGCTACTATAAGCATTGTCTATAGAGAGCTCGATTATTTTAATTTTTGGTATTAGTCAGTCCGCATTTTACTTTCTAAAGCCCAACTTAAATTAGTTACCTGCCTATACATATAAACCATTTTTGTAGTTTCTTATATAATGGCCTCACAGGGTGCGCAATTTCTGCCTTTGCTTTTCTTTTATTCTAGCTTGATGGGAAACACGCAGAACTACCCCAATTAATCAACAACCATCTAGAGGAGATAAGAGTATTTAGAGAACAAATAAGACGTATGAAAAGTGTTTTAAAGGTGGAAAAGAAAGCCAGACACGAAGCTGAAACTTCAAGGGAGAAAATTCTTTCTGAGCTGAAACATTTGCGGAAACTTGCTGAAGACCAGAAACTATTGGAAAGGGAAGAATCTGCAAAAATGATAGAAAGGCTACAAGCCGAAGCTGTTGAAAGGGAAAAGCTACTTACTGTAAGTATTTTGACTGTGACAGCATAAATATTATATATGTACAGCATGGGTTATGTTTTATGATATTCATAAACCACTGATTATTTTTTTTAGAACTTGGAGAAATATGCTGAAAATTTGGAGAAAAACCAGAGATTTGAAAGTCTTCGGCTTAATCGGTCTCAAAAAGAAATGAAGGAAACATGTCAAAAGCTTGTGGATAGAATAGAAGAACTGGAACAAGTTATCCAGGTCATTGGTGGTTATTCAGTTGACGGCGTCAGCCCTCAGCTAGTTTTTTTATAATTTACTTTCATGCGGCACTTAATTGACATTTTGGAAATTTTAAAAATAGAAAGGTAACTTTGTATCATTTTCCATTTTTATAATAAGACTGTATTCAAGTATTTTACAGTTACTAGTGGAGGAAATAATAAGTCGAAAATGAAAAACAGCATTTAATGAATTACAGGCACGACACTACATGTATTTATTTATATCTTCCATTAGTTATGTTACATAAAATAACATACCGAAAAGTATGGTCTCTGGTAAAACTAACTCTTATAACTTTTTCTCTTGCCCCTATTTTGTATCCATAAACTTCATGCATTTATTCCCCTTAATGAATTTGAATAAAGCAAGAACAACAGTGGTTTGTGCAGAATAATATGGTACCACCATTTATTTCGTTGTCTTTTCATCAGCTGCTTACAGCCTAAATAAATTTTGAGGTTTATGTACAGAAAAGTTTTAACATTTGCAAATTTTTCATGATATCAGTTGACGGAAGGTTCCGCAATTAGTGAACAGTACTCGGAAAATTGCTCTTATATAGTTTTTACACAGGCAATTCAAGTTTAAACAAAATAAATGTTTGTATACAATGGTAAAAGAGGTACGTAGTAGAGATGAGAGATGCGTAAGATGCTGAGTGACTAATAAATTAGGTAACAATGTACTGAGTTCAACTTAAATTATCGAAACAAGAGACGAGCAAAATTACAAATTATAAAAGGGGGTGAGGTTAAAGCCAAAGATTACGTAATCAAATGAGAGAATAAAGACATCCAGTTACCAGGGCATTTCTTAACAGATAGTTAGATGTCTTTATTGCCTATTGTTTAGTCTAACAGCTGGTCAACTGAAGAGTTACTGGAGTTTTACTACTTATTGTCAAACTGCTACTGATTCAGATTTTAGGTTTCTGCAAAAGTATTAGGCAAAGTCATATTTCTTAAGCAAGTGTTTTTGATCATCATATCACTTCTCAAATGCAATCAGAAGAAATCTACAAAAAGTGAAATTAAATTCATAGAAGACTTGAAATGAGATAAAGTAGTGGACATTATTAAGTGAAAGGTGTGTGTGCTGCTTTATCCTTCCAACCAGAAATAATTTTATTTTGAAGGAAACACAGATTCATTTATGCAGAACTCTCATACTTTACTTTAAACCTTAGTTTTCATAATTTTTTTCACAGTAATATTTCCTCTTAATAATATAAGTAGTAGGGTTTTATTAACTGTGGTTAATTAACACCTTGATACTTATTTTAGTGGAACATATTTTTTAATATGGACAATTCTTTTGTTGTTTTTTTGCAATTTAGGAAAAGCAAAAGTTAATTGAACTAAGTAATATTTATTCAAAGAGAATTACGAAACAACATTTAATCTGTAATGATCTGCATGAAATCCACCCTCGAAATGAAAAAGAAGAGAATTTTCAGGACTCTAGTGAAGATTGTCAGAGAGATTCTGAAAATAATAAACAAACATCTAGAGAGCGCATAAAAGAGTTTGACTTGAAAAGACAACGTTCCCTTCGCCGTAAAACAAAGGTAATTTCCATTCTTAATCAATCATATTTTATAAGCAAGGCAAACAGGCGTTAGTGATGTAATGAAATGAAAAATACTTCTTGAAATTGTGAATTCTGAAAGACAGACAGAGGCTGTGTTCGACTTTATTCATTGAATCAGTGAAATTCAGACTTCTATGCAGTCACCAGTTATTTTCATAAAGGTTTTCTGAATAGAACAGAAGTTTTCTGTATAAGTATTAGTACCAAAACAAGTCTTATTTTAATAGGGTCACTATAGAAATGGTAGTCAGCATGAATGCGACGGCAACAACTTTTTAGAAGAAAGCACAATACAGAAAATGGAATGTCTTGTGGTATTGTTTTTTTTTTTCTTGGAAATTACAAAACACTTTTCCTCCAATAAGTTTGTTCGACTGTCACTGTTAAGCAAACGTTGCTACACCACCGGTTACATGAAGCATCAAGCTGTAATTCGTGGGACTTTGAATTCATGACAGCTACCCACTATGGATCTTATGCTATTAGCCATAAGAACGTACTCTTATCAGTCCTTTTGTGATCCCTCTCCGAACAGAATGATCATGACATGAATGATATAAAATTCATTATAAGACAAGATGATAAATACGAGACGATATACATAAACTGGTTGTAAAATTTTACACCATGACTTATCAAAAGCGAACTCAACTGCCTTAATAAAACTTTAATACGTATAAAACACTGACTGAATAAATAACAAAAATTGACTTATTTCAAATATTAGCCTATCCACCGGATTAAGAAGACTATCTGGCTTAAGTTCGTTTTACGTAGACTCAACTGAGCTGATGAAAAATTATGTGTAACCGAGTATATATATATGTCATCAAAGCATATTTACTAACGGAGATACAGAATACAGAATACGGAATATGAATGCAGAATGAAGTGATGAAAGATGAATAAAAGAAGTAGAGTGAGAATATCAAATATTTAATCGTCATCTGTACTGTATGGTTTAAAGTCACACCATTCTTAATTGAGTTCACTATAAATACAGTGATACATGTCCCATAGCCGTCCTAGGGGTTTCAGAGATTGACATGATACCAAGGTAAATTCTTTTTGATCTAGGTGGAGTAATCGTTTTAAGTGGAAACGCTTATGAAACATAGTCCTATGAAAACACCTTGAGAAAAGGTTTGGGAATATCTGGGATGCGATTTATCTTCATTGGGCATAAGATGTTGCTGCAGGATTTCTCTGATCTGATTATTAATTTAAGCATACAGACTGATGTCGCTAAATAAGCTGATCAGTTTGCTTCTTTGAGGAGTCCCATCAGTTCAAATAGAGTGCTTGTTGATGAAATGTCAACATGAATTTAGAAGGCTTGTTTGACATCTATGTGATCTTTGACGCAGGCGGGAAATCCAACTGTTCATCAAAGGATATACATTCTACAGAGCAGCTTCTTCTGTTCAATTCTCTGTCTAGTCCAAAGAATGTATGCTCTTGAGTGTAAGTGTAATTAGTTGCCAGATTTCCTGATATTTACAAGGTAGACGTAGGATAATATGGTAGGTAATGCCTGCTGTTTACTTTTTGCTTCCATTTGAATGTATTATTCATTTTTTTCTTAAAAATGCAGTTAAAGCTGATTCATGCAAAGGGTCAGTTACAAAATCTCGATAAATCTGATAACTGTGGGGCCCACAGAGATGGAATTTTAAGACAGTTGCATATTTCACCAAAAGAACGTTCAGTTTTCGATGAAGTACAGTCTCTTGAAGATGGTGAAGTCGAATTTGAAAAGATTGGCAGTATAGCTAGAAAGCAAAATTCTATCAGTCTACCCAAAATTTTACGGTCAAATATACACGGAAAGTCAGAAAAAAGGTAAGATCACTGAGGGGTATCATATAAAAATAATCAGTGGTATAGTAAAAGACCGTCGTGCAATCTTTAGAGGAAACACTTGATAATGATAAATTTTATTGACTCTCTAATATATCTTACACTATGAATAAAGCAAAACATTATAGTTGCGAACTTTGTGGAGTCAGCTTTGCCTTTACTGATTATCGCACTACTTGAAAATGAATAAGCTGTTCTTAACTACGACTAATGATTCAATTTAGGCTTTAAAACAGTTAGTCCCTTTTATAAATTTTGATAGCATTATTAGAAGACGGAGATTATCTGAAAAATGTGATGTATTAGCGCTATACATTTCGAACAATCTGATCACACATTTACTTATCAAGTCAATATATATGGAAAAGTTAAATTAAACAAGGTGACAAAAAAAGAATTAAGAATAATTAACACAAACGTTCGGTAATCCAATCAAATAAGGATTACCAAGGTAGGTTAAGAGTTATTATTACTCTTTTGTTATTACTCTTAACCTACCTTGGTAATCCTTATTTGATTGGATTACCAAACGTTTGTGTTAATTATTCTTAATTCTTTTTTTGTCACCTTGTTTAATTTAACAATCCTTATTTGATTGGATTACCAAACGTTTGTGTTAATTATTCTTAATTCTTTTTTTGTCACCTTGTTTAATTTAACTTTTCCATATATATTGACTTGATAAGTAAATGTGTGATCAGATTGTTCGAAATGTATAGCGCTAATACATCACATTTTTCATATAATCTCCGTCTTCTAATAATGCTATCAATTTAGGCTGTTAAATATACATCCCTTAGTTGTTAGCGACAGATTAAATTTTGACACATCATTGTAACACCCTGTATAGTAGTCGAAAATTCGGGTGGCACACAAAACAAAGAAAAAGAAATGGAGTGTCTTTACACTGAGAAATAGAGAATAATTAAGTGAAAATATTGATATGATTATGAACAATAAATTGTGTTTGAAACGTCATCCAGTAAATAATGCTGTTTAAATGTGTGGTATATCTAATATCCGTCAGAGAACCATTGGAAAACCTGGGAGTACTGGGCAGCTGTTTCGTGCTCCGGACTCTTCATCAGCACGCACCCACCGGGTTTCGAACCCAGGACCTTCTGAATACAAGGCAGCTCGTACACTATTAAGCCACTGGGACCCGACCCAATGGCCCATGAATTCTAACTTCTGCCAGTGGCTTAGTGGTCTACCAGCTAGTCTTGTAACTAGGAGATCCTGGGTTCGAACACCAGTGGATGCATGCTGCAGAAGAGTTGCAAACTAGGACGTAAGAAATAGCTGTCCAGTACTCCCAGGTCTTCTAATGGTTCTCTAACTGTTGTCAGCTAATGATGAAATCCTCCAACCAATCAAAGTAAATCCCTACAAAAACCAATACTTGAATATATCTAATAGACAAATTAATATGGAACTGATGTAAGAATAAAACTTGTGCACTATGGCAGAGTATAACTCTATTATGGGTAAAATTTATTTTGATAAAGTCTCAGTGTTATACAGTAATATTTATATACTGATGAAGTTTCGAGCGCAATTTATTGCTCATAATCATAACTTTGGTATGATTACGCTTGAAACGTCATCAGTAAATAAATATTACCGTATAACACTGTGAGACTTTATCAAAATAAATTTTACCCATAATGGAATAATGTGGAATAATTAAACGTTTTCAGGATCTGCATAGTAATGTGAATCAAATAAATATGTTTATTTCGAATGACTTAGTGGTTTATCAACGAGAGTCTCTGAATAGTGGTTATTTATTAGCTTCTGTTAGATCCTGTGAAGGGCACTTTTCGTTTAGAAAACAGCTTAGAGTGATCATTCTAGAAAGATGTAAAGAAACTCTTCTCCATCCAGCATAGCACATTCGGGTAGGAAGTGGACTTTGATGCATAGCACAGAGCCTAACGTAATAACCTTGCCGATCAGTTGAGCCTACTTACTTAAGTATCTATTCCTAATCTTATTATTACTGTCCTTGTTTCTGCATCTAAATTTGTCACATGATAAAGGACTAAGGAAGAGCGGAATGAAATAGTTCACAGTAGACACATCTTTCGATGGTTGACTAGATATCACCCCTGTGTCAAATATGACTCATAAGACAAGCAAGGCTTCTGAATTCGTCTTCAGATTTCATTAGCAATCAATTCATTGGGACTGCCACGGTGATTCAAATATGTGAAATGATCAGTGTACTCAATCATTTCTCAACCTGTTGTCCAGAAACATCATCTTCCATTCGACAGGGAGAACAGTATGTCAAACATACGTCACATTTAGCTGTAGGTAATGCAAAAACTATTTTACCTGTGGCTGTTAGAAAAACGTTTGTTCATTACGTACAAAATGGAAAGGTAGTTCATCTACATCAGTCTGATAAGTCTGCCAGTGGCTTCCACATACAGTAAATAGTCACCTGGGTATTCTAGCCAAAATGTTCTTATCATCATTATTAAACACATCTCCGACTAATTTCATGTTCTGCTGCTTTGCATATTTATATATTAGATATAGATTTTTCAGCCTCGATCAGAGTTTAGGGTCCTACGTATTCCTACCATCAGTGGTCAAGTGATGTGTAAGTACAGTGCGTCTTTAGTACAGTTGGACTGCTTTTCAAAATCTTTCAATCATCGTTTCAGTGACCTTCACTGAGGAGTTATCAAAGTTTTATTCTTTACGTAGCACATTTCACCTACTGCAGGCGCTTTGAAACTGATTCCCTCATTAATCTGAACAGATGGAAAGCATTGCCTACTATCGATGCATTTTGGATTCCTATTGTTTTCGGCCATACTTGATGTTGCCTATTAATACAATGACTTCAGGTCACATTATGCTAAGGCAGGTTTTGTGTTGCACAATCTTTAGAGCACACTAGGTTAGGTTCAGATGAAATTATAAAAATCTCTCTTTGTTAGTTTTCCACATTTATTAAGTCCTAGGCCCATACGTTAGTGGAGCAGTGCATGACAGTTATTGACATAGATGTTCCTAATGGCAGTCATCAAGAGATCTTGCAATGAAATATAGCATGCTTAATTCAAAATATTTAAACTCAGCCTCAGTTATGGCAAGTAGTTTCCCGGTGTTCAAATATGTTTCCATCGGAAGGAACTAGATATCTAATGGTATATATATATATATATATGTATAATTTACTTTGTGCCAGTATAACTCGAAACAAACAAAGTATTGTCCTAATTCTGAACTTACACGTATCTTTACATGAGATATGTTTAGGATTAAAAAAAGTGATTTGATTTGGCATTTTTTCAGAATATTCTCGAAGTATCTGTTTAAATACAAGCTTAAGAAAAGAAATAACTATATTTTTAGCGTAAAACGTTTAAATACATTCCACTTATGGTCATATTAGATGTCTACGTAAACGAATCCTCTTTAAACATATTCATTTTACTCTTATTGTAACTAAATTAGAACAAATGAGTGCCGAAAGCAAGTTCATTTCCTGTGAGTCAAACACTATTTGTTTCTTGTTGTTTCTCCAGTTATTTAATGAAAATTGCTATCACATATAATTTCAAATCTTTAAATATTCACATTATTATTATTAGAACTAGACATATAAGCGAACAATATTGTTTTCAATTAAATCTTCAGGCTTCACTCTAATTTACATAGATTTATATATAAAAATTTTGACCAATCACGGTGAGTTTGTGGATCAAATAATAATGATAATAAAGTGTGAAATATTTTGAACATCAGTAATAACGATTCATTATAAATTATTTAAATTAATCCCAGTGTGTTAAGAAAATCAAAACAAGATTTTTCTGAACGTTTCGCTGTGTAAGCCACAGCTTCTTCAGCAGATTTATTCGGATTTTTATTCATCATCAAAATATATAGTCAAAAGTTATTATATGTTTATTTGAAGACCATTTGTCCATGGACATTTTTACCAATAGAAATATGTAAGCAGTCATCATAAATATTTGTAATGACTAATGTCAAACTGTTATTGTGTTCACTCTTCTATAGTTGATTTGTACAGATTAGTTTTGTATGAGTGTGTGTAATAACGATGATTATAATGATAACAAGGTTTGTGCAGGTGGCAATAGGAAAAGCGAAGGTGGTAATATGTGTATATGTAGACAATTCAATAAATAAATTAGGTTAGATCTTAAAAGTTGCCTGATACTAAAGGTGAAGTGGACAGATAATCAGAGTTTAAATAAATATTATAAAAGTATGAAGGAAATGGAAAATGAGAAAGGCTGGGAGGTTGTTTTTTTTAATCAGAATTTACCTAAGCCAAGGGGGAGACAAGGGTAGAACAAATTTTTTTTTTGAATGCAAAGACTAGGGTTGTTTTCTTTAATGCCCGTAGCTTTGAACTTGTGTAAAAAGCGGGTTCGAATTCCGTCCAAAAGGTTCGATGGAATGCAACTGATTCCTTTGAAGGCACTTCTCCTGTCCACTTGGTGACCACTATCAGTGAAATGAGACAAAATAGAACTTCTTATAGATTTTTTGGCCTTTACCGAATCTTGAAGGAAGATGCTCATTCATACGTTTGTCGAGCTGTCTAGTAGTTTGCCCTATGTAGCTTTCTCCGTTGGTGTAGCTAAATTTGTAAACACACATAGAAGTGGTAAAGCTAGGCAGCTTATCTTTAGCTTGAGCAATAAAAATTTACGGCTGGAAAATGATATGATTTACAAGTTCTTTGTCTTTTTAGGACCCCTGAAACTTCACCCAAACAGTCAATGGAAGATGAAGAAACATTTCGTATATTAAGATGCAAAGAGCATGAAGCTCGCCTAATTGCTGAGGCTAATGTACAGATGGATAATGATTTAGATACAAATTCAGTTATACCAGAAAAAATGATTCAAGAACAGACGGCTGACGTTTGCCACGAACCCAGTGAAATAGCACGTCCATCTTCGTCAGAATCAAGTAGTCCATTGAAGATAGAATTGATATGTGCTCCAAGGATGCTTCAAGAAACAAAAGTCGAAAGTGATAGGACTTATGAAGAAGATGATATAGAAAATTGCTGCAAAATAAATGATGGTCAGCAAAAATCAGAAACTCTGGAATGCACTACTGAAAACTGTGACAACACAGTAAGTGTGAGGAAAGTTAACATATAAGGTATTCTTTAGTGATTTTCAAACAGTTTAGTTTCAATGAGCTAAACTGACAGAATTTTTGCGAGGCTGCTCAAATTAACCATTTTGTCAGTTCTTTTGTCGTTTGAGGTTTAGTCTTACGGAAATATGTTTAAAAAAAACTTGAATCAGTCAGCAAACACAATAACCTGAGGTTGAAGTGACAAAGATTAAAGACAGTCAGTCCTCTTTTCTGCTTAGGACTGGCTAATAAACTAAGCATGGTTAGAATACCGATGGGATGGAATTCGAGTCCATGAGTTGAAATTCGAATAGTGCAGTAGTCCATTTCCATAACTACTCGGCCGCATGTATAGGAACGGAACAACTAAGAACTTTTCAAATATAGTGATTGAGAAGGCAACCACAAGATGGACTAAGAAGGTCAGGGAATTAAGTTAGGTCTAGAGAAATTAAAAAGGCCGATTAGAATAACATGGTGGTCAAAGATCCCGATATGTTAGGAAAGAGCAACCACAAATAGTGTCTAAAAGTGAAATGTGGAGGAATGTTGCAAACGGACAATAAAATACCGGTTTAGATGTGCAAAAATAATTGTGATGCTTGCCAGTAAATATAGGTGTTTGAACCACAGCATTATTATTATCATCAGATTCATCAAATATTGTGCCTCAGATATGGTGGTTTGTGAGTCCTGCTTTAACCTATAAAACTCCATTAGTGTTTGAGAAAGTAGTAGACAGTAGTAGAAAATAATATGTAGACATGAACATAATGACTCAAGAATATTCTTACATTATTGCATTTTAAATACTGAAGCATTGTACGCTGCATTATAAATAGATTTTTATTTCCCAACTATTGTGAATTCCACAATAACATTTTATGTGGTAAGCATATATGTATTCTTGTACGTGGTGAAAGTAGAAAATTACTTTTTGTGTTTTATGTTTTACAAAGAAAACAAAAGATGTTAATAAAGAATCTGTGTTATGCGGAGACACACTTGACAACTATGAAACCAAACCTGAGCAAGAATATCCAAAATTGCATAATTCTTCTGAAATAACTTCGGAAATTCCTTGTCCATCAGGTGATGTGGTATTTGAAAGTAAATTGAAAGGAGTTTCCCCCAGTTCGGATGAAGAAATTTTGTGGCAGAATATGAAACTGACAATCAATAAATATTTAACTTCAGAGAAAGCACTTCCACGAAGGATTTACAGGGGCCCTCAAGGCCTTGTTACCAACAATGAGCTGGATGGTTTTGAAGAAGAATATATAACAGAGGTCAGTACGTTACCGATTTCTTGACCCCAAGTTTAACTTTTGTTTACACAAAGTGTCTTTAAAGTAGGAATCCTGACTAGAAAGACAAACATATTTTATTAATGTAAGTGTAGAACTTAGGCACTGTGGTAGATTGTAATTCCATATTAGATAAGTTTATTTTAAATATCACAGAGATGCAGTATTAACAACTGGATAACATTTCGAGTATAAATTATTGCTCGTAATCATATTAATTTTGGTCACAAGATTTCAAAATTTGTCTTGTATATATTTTCCCTCAATTTTGTCTCTCCGACTTCCCTTTGCCGTTTGTTGCCACTTTCCATATATCTAGTATAGGCGTTGCGTCATTCCGATTGCACGTGCGTGGTGTTGAATCAATAAACAAAGCTTCAGTGATTAACTTCCTCTCTCCACCTAACTGTTTTACTTTTTAATACTCTCACCCTATCCCACCCTATTTTGTGATCACATGCATATTTTATTGTCTAATGAATTCAGACAATAGCCATAATCACTTCAGATAGTTAAAAGTAAAGATGTTTATAAAAAGTCATATTTACGTAGAGTGCTTTCGGTAAAAACGGATTCGTAATTTCCTAATGTTTTTTAAAATATCTTTAAAATATTTGAAGAGAATGAAATTATCAAAATATGAGTTGACTACTTTTAAGGTTAAGCTAAATAGGCAGTTAACTATGTGAGTTATCTAAAGGAAAAGCAGTAAACTCTTTCAGTTTTATATCTGCTTCATTTTGCGTTCTTGTAAGTCATTTAGTGGAAATATCATTGTTTTGATGTGACCTACTGCATTAGTTCTTTTACTATAACTTAAGCGTTACTTCGTCAACGTACTAATACGACACTGTAACCACTTCAGGATTTATCATGATCATTATGACCTTGTTATTTATATATGTAAGGACTTCTTGGTAGATGTTTAACTAGGAAACTCTTTTTGCTCAGAATGACGATACTGGTGCAATTGTTTTTCTAAGCTGAATTATGTAATTATAAAGCTGTCATTGTTTATCTAAACTGCATCTTCAGCACAGACTTCGATATCAAGTAAACTTCAAAAATTTTCTATGAGTTTATTATCTGTCTCTTCTAAAGATTTTATACGTGACCGGTTGTTTTCGGAGTCTTTTTCTCACCCTCTTGTCCGATTATATTGGTATTGATTTATCTTTTAACCTATCAGTTGACATTTTGTCCATGTGACTTCTTTTTATTGTTTTGTAAATCCGACCTATGTTAGTGTATCCGTTGACTGAAGAATTGTCTGAGTACTAGGCTTCTAGGAATTCCTTACCATTCTTGGTGTTTCTTTTGTCTGAAATATGTAATTCTTCCCAGTCGAGTTGATGTCTGTAGTTGTCTAGAGGCAGTGATATTAGGGAATGGATATTATGTCGCTTGACAAACATTTCATGTTCAATGATGCGAAGATGAAGAGGAAGTCCACTGCAACCTATGTAGTATTTTTCATAGTGTTTCTTTTTTGTCTTGTATGTGATGTTGGTTTTGTCTCCCTTTGTTGCTGAGTCTTTTGGTTAGTTTATTACGTAGACTGAGCAATTATTTCAGTTTGTGGGCGATGCCTACTCCAGAAGATTTTCAACAGTCTTGTAGTGATTTCAGAGGAGTGATGCTAAGGTTGCTACAAGTGGTTATTTAATTAATATTTATATAAGGTATTGTAGCAAACACAGCTTACTTTTACAACAGTTATTTCACTTTATCACATATACTCTTTCATAGAGGTTCTCACTGACATGCTGGAAATCTTCTTACATGTTTACTTAATTTTATTCGCTTTAGAGTACCGATAAACACATAGATCAAAATGACATTGTAGTTCCTTGATCGTGGGGTTCAGCTGTTCACAGAAGCTTCGAGTTTTCATGCTAATTTTGGTAGGTTTCAGTTACTGTTTTATCGCTATCTGTGATTTTAAAACACTTGTTTCTTTCTTTCACAAAATTGTAAAATAAACTGGTTATTTTATTTCAAATTCGTATGTAATAAAAAATAGTTCTCATGTTTGTGGATTTAATAGAATTTCGGACAGCTTTACACTTTTCCGGATTGTTTTCCTCCTAAATTTTAGTTAGTCAGAAGTATGATATCCACAGTTTTGTAGACGTGCTTTTACTAAATAACCAAACAGACAGTTGTTTTCGTTGTAGAATTTAACATGAGTGCTCTAAATATCACTATAGTACACCTCGTATTATCATATCAAAGGTAGAATCAAAAAATAGGGAGGCAAACATAGAAAATCTTCCCAAAGGTCAATCACGAGAAGATAAATAGAATGGTTATATGATTATGCTGTTCATATGAAGACAGAAAGTAAATGTTCCATGGTAGTGGATTTTGATCCCTATAATCTAGTGTCTTCATTTATCAGTTTAGTGGTAGGGAAAAGTGATCGATGACGTTATGCCAATCTCAGCAAGGTATCACCAACATTTTTTCTCTGTTTACATAACACTGAGTATGTTTGTAACATGTTCTAGTCACCTGAACAGAGAAAGGTGGGCAATCTCACCAACTGACCTATTGCTTACACTGTGGAAAGTGCACTGTATATTTATATTATGTATAGGATTAATACTATAAATAAAACAATGGTAAAATGACCGAATTTATCCAAAATCAGGCATTTTTATTAAACCCAGCTACCATAGGATTTTGCTTTAGTTTAATGGGTCATCCTTAATCTTTGTCAATAACATGGACCTAAAAGTTACTGGGATTAACATTGTTGAGTTTACTGCTTATTATGTTTAAAATCCAATAATTAGTTAAATAATGTCGCTCAGTTAAAAGAATTTACAGTTTCCATGTTCAACAATTCACAATATCATTGGAATGGTGAGGTAAAAAAGTACAAAGTGTAGATGGTGAAGGAATAAAGTTCACGTATGGAGTTTGATAGGTAAGAGACAGATAATAATGATAAGCCATAAGAAAACATTATCATACCTAGGGATAGCATCCTGTAGGTGTTGAAACTGAAGCTATAACACACTAATCATTACATCATATGCTAAAATCGCCAACCTCTGATTTTAAGCATCCCATACACTTAAATCACGAAAAATGACAAGATTTATACGACTCAGATTAACGGTTAATCACTACGCAAATTTATATACTACAAATTAAATGACGTTATAATGCATAAAACAATAATTTACTTAGCTAGATATATAGATTTCGTTGAGCCTGAATATTACTTCTTGAGTGAAGAGAAAAGCTCTCGCGAGGCATTTTCGGACATAAAATAGCAAATGCTACAACAGATATTCCAACTGTGTAAAAACGCTGATGTAGCACCTTTGAAACAGTCGAACGTAACATCTGACATGATTACAGCATTTCTTTAGGCATTTAATACATAATCAGAGATCTGAGGAAATTCAATTCGTAACTGACCGTATCCGTTCTACCTGTACAGGTATACTGAAACGGAATGTCGATAAGTTTGGTATGCAGTACCTCATATCTTCGTCCTCACTTTTTACAGAATGTATTGGTGGTTTTGTACCATAAGTGTATCAAGTAATATGGAGAATAAAATAGGTGGAGCATTTTTCCATATCTGTATCTAAAGTTGCCTAGCCAGTTAACTTAAACGTTAATGGCACAATTAATTAAAATATGATATGCCGGCATACTATGTTACCCATTATTTGTAATATATTATTGGAACTCTTTTCATATGAGAAATTCATAAACTCGCTCTCCAAAATGCGTTATGTGCTTGTTGATAGTAAATGGTAAAACTACACGTGATTTAGAAGTTATATAAGCGTTTTTAACTTTATGTTTATTCCAAACTCCAATTTCTGAATTAATTCGAATGTAAAAGTCTCTGTCTTATTAGTTATTTTATCGCTTGCTAACAGTAAATGATACTTAACATATTTTTAAATTTTCAGAATGTTTTAAACCATTATTGCTGTACAAAGAAGATGAATTTCGTTCACTCTACATATCTGTGCGTAAAGTAATGTAAAGGCAACAGTCCGCAAATATCTTCAACCGAAATTATTTCTGTTTCTCAAATGAAGTATTCTTTCTTTTACTGTGTATTACAGTCGTTACAATGTAACTTCTGGAAGTTTTCATAATGGACTAATAAAATTAAAGCCAGTATTCAGAAATAACACTAAAGTATTATTTTTATTAATGTAGTGACGTGAAAAATGGACTTTAAAATCCTTGTGAATGAAACCATCCAATGCAGTTGCCTATTTCAGCGATTTCCCATATTTTACTTCGATACATAGGTTAAGATACTGGCTGAAAAGAAATAACTGAATATTATGCTGTAGAAGTTACAACAGTTGAAGTCATCACTGTAGTCTTGCATTAATTACTAGCAATCAAAAACTCTTAGTTCAGTGTTCTTGAGAGTGTTTAGTAATAACTGATCTTAACAAAACATAACCATCATATAGCGTTGCCTGACTCACAATAAGCTGGGTTGTCTAACCTCATATTTATGCTATCGAGAGGATTATTCATTGTTATTTAAAAGAAACGGAAAGACACTGAGGCGTAGTTTAGTTTCTTATTGGCCAAACATGAAGCATTAGATAACCTATACTAACCAGTCTTTTGAAATAATTATGTCTGGTTTTATCTGTCTGACTCAATTATCAGAAAGGTACTTTTGCTGTGAGTGATGTTTTGAGTAGTCTTTTTATTTGGAAGCATCAAATAATCTTGGTTATCGATTGTTATATAGAACCTCTTTATTATAAATACGTATGAGAAAATCGATGTCAGTGTCGTTATAATCTTTCATAGTGTCATTGAACTCAACTGGTCTGATGTTTCTACACAAACTAAAACTTATGGCAATTTTTACAATATAGTGTGAACTATTCATAGCTTAAGCCTCTTGCGACTTTGCAGCTAGTTCTGCATGGGGATGACTTAAAAAGACAGATTGGTCTATGAGCAAAAGGAATTTAGACGTTTTAGTGAAAAAAGAATGACAGTAGTATATGAAAATGCTATACATTAAAAAAATGAAGATATATATATATATATACGGTAGACAAAAACATACAAAAGAACGAACTTTAGTATATAAAGCTTTCAGTACTATGTAGGAAGAATTCAAAATAAGATATGGTTACTAGTTAGTTATGAAATGATTGCATCTGGTTTTCAGCATAGCTGACCTATAAAACATTCCAGTTAGCTAAAAGCGAATATATAGGTATTTACATGTTTTGCCATATTATAAATTCATGTTGCTGCTGCATGCAATGAGATCATAATATAGTCTAATAAAGCGTTTATATATTAGAAATACAGATATAATATTTTTCAGATAGAAAACAAATTTTAAAATATAAGATTGTGTTATGCATTTTGTGAGGAACATGTTGGATCAGGCCAGTATCGATCAGATGAACCTTGATCTGTGTCACTGTCTTCTTGTGAGGCGTCCAAATCATTTTGATTTGGTCTTGATGATCCTGCCCAGTTTGAATTTTCTTCTACGGCATCTTCTCCAGCTTGTTCAGCTAAACTAGAATCTGCAGCACTTCTGTGGAGTTGGAGTTGCCTAAGGTAATAACGTCTTTGACGAGCGTTACGTCGAAGCCATAGTTGACGATTAAGAAAAGGGAGATTGTTTTCGGTGTCTGCATCGACTGTAGCAGAAACATATGACGTTTCACCGGAATTCACCTGATCTGAATTGATTTGATCTGGATTGGGAATGGCATCAGGCCACTGAGGCCATACATATCCAGCTGCAGCCTCAAAAGATGTACTAACTGGGAGATTATTTCTACCATCAGATCCTGTTCTGTGAGTATTAGGTATAGGTTCGCCTGCAGATGGATGTTGTGAATTTCTGGAATCAGTTGGATTTGAAGAACATGATGAGGTATTCTGAATATTTTGACTTGGTGAGCTAACTAGCATACTACTTCTACTTTCACTACTCGTATAGCCGAAGTTCGATAACATCAGATGACTTAGTGAACTATCTTGGTCACTTGACAACAAGGGTTGTCCACTACTTGCCCATGAATCTGTTGAAAAAAGACCGACATTATATTGCTCATTATTTCGATTAGTCCCAGAGGCTGTGTTGTTGATTTTAAAATTATGACTAGTATTTCCTGCCCCACCCACCTCGTCAACTTTAACAAGTGTTGGATGACTTTGTGTGGCAAATGATGATTGACTCCATCGCTCACCTATACCAGAGTTCATACTTACTGAGGTCGACATTGTGTAGTCTGTCCGGCCGCCTATACTACGTCGTTTATGTCGTGGATATTTACCTGAACGGTTTGCTTGCAAGACTGTTGGGGGTAATAACAAACTAGTACGTACACGTCTATTAGCACCAAATCGTCGACTTGTTATTCCATTACCTGAATTTGAATTCTGTAATGGCGAACTAGAATTCCTGTTTTTCACCAGTTGAAGCGATGGAACTGCTTGGTTAGACTGTCGAAAACGTTCGCCTGAAAACTTTGCAGTTGGGTAAATGGTAGCACGACTTCTTGTGTCTCCTCCAGTACTGCTGTACACCTCAGTGTTGGAACTACTTTCATTCTGAAGTACAAAAGAAAAGAAGACATGCTTTATTGCTGACATTTAAAATTAAAATTAACGAACAACAATGACTCGATTAGAAACATTGTACAAGAAAAATTCTTTTATCTTCTTCGTTTCCGTTGCCAATGTATTTCATTCTTTTATCCTTTCCTGTATCAGTTTAGACTCTAAACAATTCAGCAGTCGAACTCAACGATTAATAATCATAATCTCTGTAATATGTGAAGTGAACGAAAAATCAAATCAGTGGCACAGCGGTAGAA